TTAGTGCCTTAGGCAGGGCTTAGCGCTTAGCAATAGGCTAACTTGCCTGCCTTCCTCCCTCTCCTCCTAGCTCCTTATCGAATACTACCTATACCTACTACTACCCTATCTACCTGCTAATATAACCCCTATTACAACTATAGCTAGTATAAATTTTTTCAAGGAAAGGACTACGTTTCTCGTAGTATCTCGAGCGGAATTTAAGCGGTATAGAGGCCTTATTTATAAGGGATATAATAGACTATTTTATAGTAGAATTTAGCTCTTTATCCCTAGTAGTCGATATTACTTTGCCTATTAGGTTCTATCTCTTTAACTAAGATAAATACTGCTCCTACTATGTCCGATAACTTGTCTTCTAGTTAATAACGCCTCTTACTAGGTTCCTCTATACTAAACAAGCGGAAACGGATAGAGGATCTATACTAGCTTCTAGTAACTCGTATCTAGCTTAGTAGTAAGAACTGCCTAAGGGTTAAGTATAACTTTTATAGTACTCTATAGGTTTCGAGCACTAAAGGGCGGGTAGTTAATTATATATCTGTGTATAGTATTCTCCCTAAGGAGTACTATAAGGAGTATTAGTCTAAGAAGCTACCTATCGACGAGGATATTAGCCTAGCTAAGAGTAGCAAATATATAGTACCTTAAGGCGCTTAAGTTAAAGCAAAGTAAACTATTCTTATCGGCGGTAATACCTATATCGACTATATATCTCTAGCTAAGTACGATACTGCTTATAAGAAGCTAACTAAGTAGGTATTAGCCTCTAGTAAGGAGTTATCTATTACTAATAACCTCTAGTTTAGGGGATAGCTAAAGGTTCTTCGTCCTACTTTTATACTGCCTTCTCGCTAGTAAATTCGATATAAGTATCTTCCTCGAATTTATAAGCGACTATAGGCGGAGATAGATTGTAAGAAGGGTTATATTAGCAGGTAGATAGTGTAGTAGTGGGTACAGGTAGTATTCGATAGAGATCTAAGAGGAGAGGGAGGAAGGCAGGCTAGTTAGCCTAACGCTAAGCGCTAGCCCTACCTAAGGCACTAAGACCCTAGCTTCACTCGGCCTACTTATATGCTAATTACGTATAGCCTCTTTAGCTCTAATACACGCTTCCCTTCTAAAGGCCGCGCCCTCGTAGCCTGTCTATATTCTAACCTCGACCTCTATTGCTACTAACTTAGCAGGTCTAATAAGCCGCTTAGTCCGCGCTAAATTAAACGCACAACTACCGATTATATAACTATGTCAAACCTCACCTCTAATATAGCATAATGTCTAACTCTAACTGCGCTATCCTTATATATAATAAGGTAAAGGGATATAAGGCTATAAGAATTAAGGACTATCGACTAATTATAATACGAGCGCACCTTCCCTACTATAATAGGTAGGTATACGGGGTATTGTAGTACTGCCTCCGCTCTAAGTAATATCGTTCCGAGTTCTTTACGTCTACTCTAAAAGACCTAGCAATGTCCGCTTCCGAGGGTTTGTCCGCTTCCGAGGGTTATTATTCTTATTATTACGAGGGCTATTATTTACTATCGTAGTTTCACTAGCCCTAATTAGTTAGGTTTGGCAGCCTTTAAGTGTTAACTAATTATATCTTTTCAAAAAACTTAGTTCTTCTAGTTTCTATAGGTAAAGGCTATTATAAGTGTAGTAGTAAAGGTTCGCCTTACTTAAAGGGTTAGATAGATCGAGGAGTAACCTATTGTCCGCAAGATCGACCCCGGCTAGCTTAGCTCTATAGTTTTTGCCCTTAGTTAGTTAGTCTATTAGTTTACTTAATCTTTTAAGCGGCTTAAAGTTTTAACTCGGCCTTAAAGTTTTGATACAAGTAAGGTTAATAACAGTAACGACTAGGTAATATTAATAACGGCGGCGCTAGCTGTCTTAGCGCTAACTTTACCTTGCTTCCGGTTTCCTTCTTTAACTAATAACAACTCGGCAACACCGTTACTAACATAGCTGTGTCCTTTTCTTAATAGTAACAAACTCCGTAATACCGTTACTAATATAGCCGCGCCGACCTCGCCGATTGCCTAGGCCTCGAGGCCTCGACAGAATAAAGGAATAAGAGGGGGACCTAAATACTAGGAGAAGGGCCTCGTAGGGCGCGTTAGTAGAGAGGTAGTTTCCTAAAAGAGTAGCGAATAGTTAACGCGTTATAGCGCGCTTGTTAACACTCGGTACGCGTTTACTATAGTAGTATAATCTTATTGTCCTTTGTTGCTAACAATTGCTTGCCTCTAATTAGTTAGCTAATAGCACCCTAGGGGTAGTATTGTTCCTAGGCTTAGTAGTAACATTATAGGTATTATAAGCTCTTAGCCTTCTTTGTGTTCTTTACGCTAGTCTAATACTTATCTAACAACTTAGTTATATCCTTAAACGAGTCTTTAGCCTCCTATAAGTCCTATTTAGGTAAATAGCCTTGCTATCTTAATAGGTACTCCTTCTTGCCTTTCCTAGTCCGGTGCTATAGGATACGTTCTATAGACTATAGCTCTTTACTATTAGCTAGTATGTCCTCGGATTTAGTAGGTGCTTTATCCCCTTCGCGTAGGTAGTACGGCTTAAGGAGGGATATATAGAAGGTGTTATAGATAGTGTAATAAGGTAGAAGCTACAACTAATAGGCCTGTATGCCCTTAGCCTCTCGAATGCGGAATAGGCTAATGTATCTTAGTGCGAGCTTAGGCCTTGTTTTGCCGTTAGGTAATAGGTGCTTGCGGATGCGGAGGTTCTTAGTGCTTAGCATAACTATATCGCCTTGCTTAAAGGTTATCGGTATATAGTGTTTGTTGTAATAGGTCTTTTAGTACTCTTAAGCCTTTGTCAACTTCTCGGCTATCTTAGTATAGATTTCTCGCATCTTCTAAACCCTCTTAATAGCCGCTAGTATTTCGGGTACTTAACGCGCTTCCCTTTCCTTGCGCTCGGCCTCGAGCGAGGTAAATAGATCTTATAGTAAGGCAGCGTTCTAGCCTATTATAGCGAAATAAGGGGAGACCTTAGTAGATAAGTGGACACTATTATTATATACGAATTCAGCTAGTTATAGGAGGTTAACCTAGTTATTAGGGTTCTTATTGATGTAGCTACGCAGGTACTGCTATAGCGTAGCATTCTACCTTTCGGTCTAACTATCTGTTTATAGATAGAATGCTATAGATAGGCGATGCTTAAGTCTTAGCTATAGGCAAATCTTACTCTAATAATAAGATGTGAATGTCGAGCCTCGGTTAGAGACTATCCCTTTAGGGATCCCCTAATAGGTATAGAAGATGTTGTTCTATAGCGCTTCTACTATATTAATAGCAGTCTAATCTTTCCGCGCCGGGATGTATCGAGCGCCCTTAGTAAACCGGTCTATAACGACTAGGATAGCGTTAAAGATGTCTTTGCTTCCTCTTCGCTTAGTAGGGGGAAGACCTATAATAAAATCCATTATAAGCTCTATAAATAGCTTATAAGGGATTAGTAAGGAGGACAACTCGCTAAAAGGCTAATGCTTTAGTACCTTAACACGTTAGTATACGGTATACGTATTAACGTATTCCTTTATATCCCGCTTACTATTTAGCTAGTAGTATATACGCGATAGTAGCTCGTGCGACCTCTCTATACTATAGTAACCGGCAAGCTTACTATTATAGTGTCGCTTAAGAAGTTCTTATCGGATCGAATATTTAGCGGGGATATAGTATCTGCCCTTAAACTTCAAATAACCTTTGTTATCGATCGACTAATTGTTACTCTTACTAGATCGAGTCTTTCGTCTACTTATAAGCCTATCGATACGTTTAGTAGCAAAGGCGTCCCTCTACTAAGCATGTAATAGCTCGTCTATAAACGGTTAACTATCCCTATTTGTAAGGTTATTTAATAGCACCCTCGCTATTAAACGAGGTACGCATTATATACATCTAATAGCACTAGCAGCCGGATTAACTGCAGTAGTGCTATCGCTATTACTATATATTGCGATATCGACTAGGGAGTTATTATAACTTCTCCTGTCTGTGTCTTTAGCCCTTACCTTAATACGCACTATTAATATAGTAAGAGCATTAATATACTTTAAGCCGTCGCAGAGTCCGGTAAGCCGCTTATCCTACGCTTGCTTATTAATAATACGGGCTATAGCAATCTTATGCTATAGGGTTAGAAACAATAAATTAATAGATTGCTAAGTCCCGCTATCGTAATTAGGTCGCCTCGATAGGCTATTAGTAGGGTTGCTTACGCCTAGCCGATATAATATATTAAAATCAAACCTAGCGAGGTAGACGGCCTATCTAGCCTATCGACCTATAACCCTAGTAACCTTCGTAATTCTACGGAGGTTGTTATAGTCTATATAGACCTGTATTGTATGTTAAGCCCTATCGAGGTAGTGCCTCTAATGCTTAAAGGCCTCGACAATAGCTAGGAGCTCTTACTCGTAGGTCTCGTAGCGACGTTTAGTATTAATTATCTTCCTCGAGAAGAAGGCAATCGGGTGCTAGTAGGTGTTATTAGCCTGCTATAATATAATAGCTAATATAGCGAACTGTAAAGCGTTAGTCTTAATTCGGATCTGTTTGCTTAGCACGAAATAGTACAATAAGGGGACTTTAGTAAAGCGTTGCTTTAGACCGTTAAAAGCGGCTTGTACTTTATTAGTCTATTTGAATTCTCTAGTAGGGTTAGCCTTAGTTTTAGTGAGCTTAGTTAGTAGTATTACATGCCTCGAATAACCCTTAATAAACCGACGGTAGAAGTTAGCAAAACCTAGGAATAATTAAAGCTCCTTAATAGACGTAGGAATAGGCTATTTAGTAATAGTCTTAATCCGATTAGGATTAGCCTTAACACTATTAGTTAATACGATAAAGCTAAGGAAGGCTACCTCCTTAGCGGCGAAGGTGTATTTAGAAGGCTTGCAATATAGTCTATAGGCTCGCAAGCGATCGAGCACCTTACGGACTATAGCCTAGTACTCCGCGATGTTAGGGGAGTGTATATAAACTAGGATGTTATCTAGGTAAACTACACAAAGGTAGTCTAGTAGGCCGGACAAGGCCCGATTAATATAGGACTAGAATGTAGCAGGGGCATTAGCTAGCCTAAATAGTGTAACTAAGTACTCGAAATAGCTATAGCGAGTGCGGAAGGCTGTCTTCTATTTGTCGCCCTTACGAATACAGATGCGGTAGTAGGCGTCCTTAATGTCTAATATAGTATAGTAGTAGGTACTAGAAAGGCGGTCGAGGGTCTTATTAGTAGGCGGGAGTAGACAGCGGTCTTTAATAGTAACAGCGTTAAGCCTACGATAATTAATATATAGGCGTAGGCTACTATCCTTCTTTAGTACGAATAGGATAGGTGCACTAGTAGGGCTGTTACTATATCGTATCCGGCTATTAGCTAGGTTTTCCTCTAGATACTTGCGTAATATAGCAAGCTCTCGTTTACTAAGGTTATAGAGGGGGCTAAAAGGAACCTCCTTGCCCTCTATAATATTAATCTTATAGTCCGTCTCTTTAAATATAGGCAATGTCGATACTAAGTGGTATTTAAACACATTAATATAGGTCTCTCGAACAGGTTCTAGTATACGCTTAAGTTGTTTAGGATCTATACTATTAGGGGGCACTAGTTTATCGTTATTACTACCGAGCAGGTCGGCCGTCCGACCGTCGGATTAGCTAGGGTTAGGTTGCTAATAAATAGGACCCTAATATTATTAGGGCACTCGCTAACATTAATATATTTAATGTCCTCTTTCCTAGCGATTCTAAATCGCTATTATTGACTACCTAAGTCTATAACTATAGCATAGTACTTAAGAACAGGGTTGCTAATAACAATGTTAGATAGGAGGCTGTCTATGTCTACTGCGTAGGCAGTAAAGTTTAGCAGGCGCTTATTACCGAGGTCGTCTCTTAGGGCTATATAGACATAGTAGGCTCCGTAGGTCAAGTGCCGAGCGTTATTAAACTAAGCAAGGGTTAGTAGGTTAGTCCTAGGCAGTTATCGAAGGTCTAATTGCTTAGCTAGGCGATAGCTAATAAGGGCACTAACCGAATTTCCTAGATCTAGTGTAACCTTAGTCTTATAGTTAGTTCTATACGTGTTTAATACGAGATAGGTACGTATAATAGCTAGTATAATGTCGATAGTCTTACGCCGTATAAGGCTAACAGTTAGTGCGGCGCTTATTCTTTTTTCGACTAATTAGAAGGTTAGCCTATAGGGGTAGCGTTAGCTACTAAGAGGTGCTTTCGGTACTCGGCGGTAGTACGGTCGACTCGGGCCTAATCCCTAGGTTTGTCGCATTAGCCTAGTAGATAGCTAGTACTATCGTAATTGAAGCACTTCAATCTAGTTAGGAGGTTGCTATAGCTGCTATTAGTCGAGCGGTTAGCGTTATAGGGATACGAGCCCCTTCTACGGCCCCTATTACGGCCTCCTCTATATAGCCGTCGGCTACGACCTCTTCCGCGGTCGTTACTATTCCTATTGTTAGCATTGTTATCTTAGTAGGAACCTTGGTTTCCTCCGCGGCTACGGTTGCTACGGTTGCTAGCAGGTCGGATCCTTGATTCTAGTCGTTACTAGAGCTAGATAGCTCGTTTAGTAGTTTCGACTTTAACTATAAATTAAATACGTATAAGATTAGCCTATTTAAACACACGGCGGCGGTCCAATTTAAGGACCAATTCCTATCTCAATTTAGGGCGTATTTCGGAGATCTAGATAGAATTAGTTTTAGTCGGGAGGTCGTCTTCGAGGGTCTTTAAATAGGCCTTAAATAAGCGAGCCGATTGATTAGTCTTTTGTTTAGCTCGAAGGTACTAGTCCTAAGCGTGTTATTGCCTTAGTATAGGGTTTCTAAGGGTGTCTAGCATAATAGTTTTATAGGTCTGCTACTAAATAGTAGTCTAGTTATTAAGGGAGTCGAAATGGTTATCCTAGGTGCGTTTTAGGTCGCCGTTAATGTACTATATAGCATAGACGGCTAGTAAATAGTCATTTAGTAGAGCCCTTAGTGCGTTTCGTTAGTTAAGCTTACAGTTACGAATGTAGTCGTTGTATTGTTTCCGACTAGAGCTATTAAATACGGTATAGTCCTTGAGTTTAGCATCCTTCTTTTAGACTAAAATAGATAGAGAGGAAGGCCCTGCTATTAGTTTAGTATTAGTTGCTAGGGCTTCTTATAGGCGGCGAATTTCGAGGAGATTATCCTTTAGCTATTGTTCTTAGCGCAAGGCAGTAAGCCTGTTTTGAGTAGCTCCTTAAAGTCTCGCTACTAGTTAGGGCCTAAAGGCTAGTTAGCTATATCGACGGTTAACAATATTGCTAAGAATATCGTTAACGGGCAACGATAGGTTATCCCCTTCGATTATAGGTTCTTTAGTAGGCCCTCTAGTAGGCTCTTTAGTAGGCACCTTAGTAGGAGGCACTTTAGTAGGCACTTCAGTAGGCACTGTGCTACTAGCGTTGTCGTTGCTAGCGCTACTAGCGGTAGCACGGTTGTTGTTTCGTAATAAACCGGCTATTATAAGGGGCGACACTAATAATATATTGTTAGCCCCTAAGATACGGATATAGCGGAATTAGTAGGTATCGGCCTAGTATGCTTAACTTAGTGTAATAGGCCGTATAGAAGGCCTTGCTTAATGATTAGTACGGTTGTTTTAATAGAATAGTACGTATAGGTCCCGTTCTTTAGGCGTAATATAGTTAAATCGATAGTTTTCGTAGCTATACCGCTAAAAGCTTGAAATAAGGACTATCTAGCTGCTACCCTTAAAGGGTAGATCGAATACTATATAAGAAGGGTTATATTAGCAGGTAGATAGTGTAGTAGTAGGTATAGGTAGTATTCGATAGAGATCTAAGAGGAGAGGGAGGAAGGCAGGCTAGTTAGCCTAACGCTAAGCGCTAGCCCTGCCTAAGGCACTGAGACCCTAGCTTCACTCGGCCTAATCACATGCTAATTACGTATAGCCTCTTTGGCTCTAACATAGATATAGAGATATTAAAAAGCTCCTACCTTAGGTTGCTACTCCTATACTACTAAATTGCCTATAAACGATTTTTATAATTATATAATTTATACTACTATAGACTCGTTCTATACTAAGATTATAGCGGTCTTAAACTGCTTTAAGAATACCTATCTTCTATTTAAACTATTTCTATAACTTAGTAATAGGAAAGTACGGCGGTTTTAAAGTCCTAGAAATACTTGCTAGTAAGTTTAGCTATACTATACTCGGGTAGTCTTCGAGAACCGCTTCTAGATATACGCACTTCGTATATAGGAATACCTCCTATTAATAGGCTTAAGTAGTAAGGAGCGCGCTACTTAGAAGTATATTTGCTATCTTACTAAGAATAATAGCTTCTAGAAGCGCTTAGACGATTATATATTCTCTAGCTACTTAGTAAGGCCTACTATTGCTAATAACTCGCAGATATATTAAACTAATAGAACCCTTCCTTAAGGTTACTATTGCCCTCGAAATCGATAAACTATTACTCTCGTATATATACTCTAATTATAGATAGCTTTAGAACTAGTCCTTTATTAATAACTTTATTCTTATAAATACTATTACCGAAATAATTAGTATTCGATACGACGAGCTATATTATCCCCTAATAATTATAGCGTATCTCGCTACTACTCGAGAGCGGTAAGATCCGGACAAATAGGCTATTCTAGTTAGTAACGGCGAGATCTATAGACTTACTAGATACCTTACTAAATAGTATACTCTATAAGGCCGTAATAGCTGCCGACCTAGCTTTAAATACGTACTAGAGTCTACCGCCGAGGTTAAAGACAAAGCGGCCTTATTACTTGCTAATCTCTATACTCTACGTAACCGTAGCGGCGTGTTTAGTAATAATATCGTCTAGTAGGCGGTAAAGAATATAAGCTCGTTATTATAGTAGTATAACCTTATTAAAAGCGAGTATCCTAAACTCGCTAAGTTATATATACTAGCTTTACTAATCTATCTAATAACTAGTACTCCTAAGCGTAACTAGTTAGCTTATAGCTTTATTTATAACCTTCGCTATAATCGCCTATTTTACGAGTATATAGAGATACTAGTCTATTACTCTTAGAACCTATAGATTAGGTATAGACTTAATACTAGTAGTAATAATAACGACGACTTCTACGATATACTATAAGACCTACTACGAGAGGCATTTGCTCCTATAGTAGCTATTGCCGTATACGAGACATAGGAGGCTAATAATACTACTAGATTTAATACTACCTTATAGGAGCTACTATATACTTAGGTCTAGATAATAATATATAGACCTAGTCGGTAGAAGTATCGGCTATTTAAGAACTAACGAGAGGCTCTTAGGTTAAAGGAATCGCGGACATTTAGCTAATTATACTATATAGTAGTCTATAGCCTTAGTAGCCCTAACCTTTCTCCCTAGTATATACCTAGTTACGCGTTGCCTAATAAGTTATAGTATACGGGTATACTCGGGTGTATTACACTATATACAAAGGCTGCACTTCCGGGAGTGTGTATTCTAACATCCCTAGTCCTACTACTCTTATTAGTGCCTCGAAGAAACTGAAACATCCCGCAGCTACTACCCTGTCGGATTGCACGAGAAACCCAGGTCGGCTCTCGTAAGCCTCCGCGGATCGAGAACGAGATCTTATCCTATCTCCGGTTTAGCTCCTTCCTATTTGCACGCAAGGGGTAGGCAGGCACAACACGCACCTTCCACTATCGCACCTTTGACTGATATCGTACCTGCTTACTCTCTTTGCCGCTAAACCACAAAGAGAATGAAAGGTGGAGGGTGAAAGGTGCATGCGTCGTGGAAGAAGTCACTATGAAGAGCCTGAGAAGGAGGCAGCTCTCAGCGTCAAACAGTCTGCCACACAATTGGAAGTACGCAGCGGTGATGAGAGCGTAGAATATCAACCGACAACTTCATCCGGGGAGTCTCGGATAGTACTTCGGAGAATTACAGTCTAACATCATGCTATTCCCATGTCTATCCAAGAAGAAAAAACGTGAGGGTGGGGAGTGGGCTCAAAGCTCCTGCTTCGCCTGCCTCAGCTGTCTCTGCGCCGCTTTGCTTGAAATGCTCTGCAAAATAGCGGCAAGTCCACTGCTAGAACACTCATCGCCATCATGTCTGAGACCGATTTTTCTTGTGCTCTTGTCCGATGGGAATCGTCTATTGGGTACCTGACAATTATACTGCGCCTCAGCGGCTCGAATTTGGCATATCTCATCCTTCTTACAGTCACCAGTGCATGTACTGTTATCCCAGCCCCGACTCTTTCGAGCAAAGTATGCCTGGAAAGCATCGTCATCGCTTTCGAAGGCTTCCGTGACGTTGTGCCAGAAGGCAGGTGTCAACTCTGAGGACGGGTCCGTCAATCCGACGAGTTGGCCATACGTTTCTTTTGCTGATGCATATTTGCTCCACATGGGACCTTGCTGGTATTTCGGATGCTCGAGTGGAGCGGAATATGTTGTAACATCGAGAATGCCAAAGGTGACCGGATCGACTGTAAGAACGCGGAAAGCTGGAGAGCCCGAAGTCGGTGTCAGACTCGGTGAGATGTAAGACACCATGCTGGCCGTTTCATGAGATAGATCAGAGTGATTGCTGTAGCTCAGCTCAAAAGACTCCTTGTGCGTGTGACCTACGTCCGTTAGCTTGGTTATCAAAATGATCACTCCTCACCACTTACCCCAGAACATGGCCGCTATTGTAGCATCGTAGCGGTTCACGATTTGATCGAGATGGTTGGAGCCATCATGCAAAGCATCGTTGACTCCAGGTGGCATATGTCCCATAATGTATACTCGTTCCCTGGCGTCTTCAGCAGACTGGAGCTCATCTACTAGCCATTTGAATTGTCGATTTGGATCGTACTGCATGTCCGCCTCGTACACCCAAAGGTTGAACTTGTAGAAGAGGTTCGTGTTCAGTGAGATGATACGGAGATTCGTGTTTGGCACTTTGTATGAGTATGCTCCATATTCGTCTGCAGTTCTGGACTCTTTGCCAATCCATTTTGACCAAGCATTCGACACAACATCGTAGACCCATTGACTACTGATGGGATCGACAACCCCTTTGAAGGGGTAGCTGTTTACCGGGGCGGCTTCGTGGTTTCCAAGCGTTCCGTAGACCGGCATTCTCAAGGTCGATGACATTTCCTGGTAAGTGTCCTCGATGCTGCGAGTCACGCTGGATTGATTGACAAGCCAGACATGATGCTCGGGAACGTCCCCAGTAAAGAGCGCGAATTTTGCATCAGGTGCAAATCTCTCCATCGCATTGTAAAAGCTCTGCTCTAGTGTCTTTGGAGAATCACAATTATGATTTCCGTAAGGCCCAGCTGGATAAGAGTTGTTGCCAGGTGCGTCTGATGGAGTGAATGACCGGCAGCAGATTGGCTTTGAGCAATTGGCACTGCTGCCCACTTCGTAGTCAAGGTCGACATGAACATCGCTGAAATGCACAAATATAGTGGGCTTCTGACCACTTGGTGCAGGTCGTGTGATGTTTGGCTTTGGCTTTGGGAATTTGATTCGATGAGGTCGTACTTTTGGCACATCGCATTGCGCTAGAAGGACTGTGCATAAGAGGTCGGAAGCACGTGATGGTATGGCAATGTTCCTGACAGTTCGAGCTACGATTGGTCCTTCCTGGGCAATGATACCTTTGCAAACGTCTTCATCTTCCGCTCCAGCTCGGATGCATCCTGTTGTCAGTGCATTGACAACAGCTTGGTCGCCGAAGCGTGCTAGGGCCTTTAGGCTGAAGAGCACTGTCCGGCACTCAGCACATGATGCAGTGCTCGCGATCTCCGTGAGGACTTGGTCGTCAGATGGTCTCTCCTGCGACGCAGTCCCGGCTGTCAGCAAGCATGCATATGCAAGGCTCCGCAACCGCCTCATTCTCGTCGAGAGAGAAATGGTTGTAGATATGATGATGCACCGGAGTGGCTGACTGTCTCACACTGTCGTATGATGTTTTGCAACTGCGATCGATTCCTGATCGATCGCCTTTTCATTCTTTCATGTCATCCACCGTCCGCTTCCTACTTCGGGCTTTAGGACCTTCGTACACATATGTTGTTGCAATGTCGAAGCAGCACGTTGCCACATGACTGATGAGTTGTTGAAGCAAGGTTTCGCTTGCAGATCTAGCTCGTCATCGTTGGACTAGTGCTTATGTGGCTCGAAGAGCCACACGAGAAGCCTAAGGCGACGAGTGGCTAAAGTCTTATCTAGGACGCCTATAGCAGGCCTAATCTGAAACGCGTATAGTAAGTTATATCTAAAACGCTAATAGTAATATTAATCCTAAACGCGTTACAGGTATTAGAAAGCACTATTTAGAAACGCTTATAGCGAGCACTATTAGAAACGCTTATAGTAAGATAGTCTAAAACATCTATAGTAACTACTTCTAGAATACGCCTATAGCAATTACTATCCGGAATACCTATAGCGAGCACTATTTAGAATATCTATAGTAAGTAGTCCTTTCCGAGTCGGAACGCTTATAGTAAGTACTACCTATAAGGCGTATAGCAAGTCTTATCTAAAACCGTACTAAAACGCTTATAGTAATTTTAGTCTAGAGTACTTATAGCAATTCTTATTTAGAACCTTTATAATACTAAGTACTATTTAGTATTCGGAACGCGTATAGTAAGTCTAATCTAAAGCGCTAATAGTTAGTACTACTATCTATAACGCCTATACTAAGTTCTATTTAGAACGCGCTATATAGCAATTCTAATCTAAAACGCTTATACTAAGTCTTATCTAGAACGCGTATAGCAAATACTATCCGGAACGCGTATAGTAACGGTCTAATTCGGAACGCCGATAGTAAGTACTATTAAAAACGCTTATAGCAAGTAGTACTATCTAAGATACCTATAGTAAGTACTATATAGAATATTTATAGCAAGTCTAATCCAAAACGCCTATAGTAAATCTAACTAAAAAACGCTTATAGTAAGTAGTAATATTTAAAATGCTTATAGATGTAACTATCCGAGATGTCTATAGCGAGTAGTACTATCCGGAACGCTTTAGAATGCGCTATATAGTAATTCCAATCTAAAACGCTTATACTAAGTCTTATCCGGAACGCGTATAGTAAGTCTAATTCGGAACGTAGCAACTTTACGGTCGCGATTTAACTACGGGTTACGGGCGTAACTATTAGATTAATACTTCTTACCTTTAATATATCTAGTTTTATCGTAGTTACGATCCTTAGGTTTACTAGACGGCTTATTAGAGGTCTCGATACGCGTCGCAAGCTATACGAGTTTGTAACGCGTCGTTAGTACCGTATAGTATTTAATAATCGCGCTACGAATCGCTAGCTAGAGTTTAACGAGGAGGTAGCGAATCCTATACTCCTCGCTATAGTCGCTAAGTTAGTCTTCGATTACTACGAGCTTAAGGGCAAAGCTTTAGACTAACTGTCCCTTACGCTAACGGGCTACCTTATATTCGAGGGTTACGTCGAGTATACGGTTTATAGGGTCCCTAACGTAGTCCTAATAGAAGGTTTTAAAGTCCTAGTAGGTATAGTTCTATAGGTCCTTAAGGCTGTTTTTATTATACTATCGCTCCTACGTATCGCCTATAAGGTATATAATACTATAAAGCACCTTAGTTTCGTCCGTATAATAGGTAGCTCCGAATAGCGTAAAGGTAATAGAAAGTTCTCGAAGGAATCGCCTCGATTCCTTATTTATATCGCCTTTAAAGGACTTAGGTCCCTTTAGGCGAGGCTTAATAGCCGTACGACTAGCGACTACGTAGCTTATACTAGGTATAGTAGCTACGCTTAGCGTACTTCTAGAAAGAGGTAGTCGATAAAAGAGAGATTTAGCTCTCTAAGATTTAGGTCTCTAAATCGACTTATTAGCTAACTCTACCTCGTCTTCGTCGTCGTTATTACCTAAGGAAGGGGTTATCGTAGGACCCTCGCCGGCGGTACCGCTACTTAGAGCCTATATATCGCTAGCGTCCCTAAGGGTACGAAGACGCGTATTCTCTTGCTTAGCTTCTTAAGCCTATACTTCTAGTCTAAGTACTTCTTACTTAGCTAGGAATCGTTCGAGCTATAGGTAGGTCGCTTCTCGGCGCGCCTAATATTCGGCTTCGTATTATTATATCGCCGCGTTGTTCTCTAATGCCGCTAGCGCTCCTAGTATATTATTTTATATAGTTTCTACGCCTAGTGTATTCGGATCTCTTACGTTTATCTTTCGGGGTTCTATAGGCCGCTATAAAGGGTAGACAGTTTAGAACTATAAGGAAATAGGTCTATAGTAACGTATAGAATACCCTCTACTAATCGTAGTAGTAGATAGTAGAACTAAACCGTACCTCTCTAAGAATAGAGTAGAGTGTTTACTATTAACTAAGCTCGCTCGGCTAGTATATCTACCGAGCTAGCTACCGAGTATATCTATACGAGTAACCGGGCTTCTCCGCGTATACGTTAAGTATACTTTGCGCTAGCAGTTTAGTATCGTAGTATACGTAATAATATTATATAACTATTATATAGAATTGCTAAGGCAGGATAGGAGACTTTACTTACTTAGGTTCTTATAGAACGACTATCTAATTATCGAGAGATTTATAACCTCCGCTACGCTTAGCTTCGTAACTATATTAAGAGAGTATTTAGTACTATAAATAGGCAGTTTAAGGTTATTAGCGAGGGACTAACTAGATAGCCGATTGCCTAATAAAGTCGCTTTAATATCGCCTATTATATTATCTATAACTTTATCTATTCCTATCCGATAATTAATAACCGCTATCTTTAGAGCTAGGCCTTCTTCTAACTAACGCTAAATTAAATACTACTCGAGATACTAATACTATAGCGAAGGTTTATATCGATAATAGGCGCTACGCTGCTAACGAGATTAAGGACGAGAGTTACGCGGATTATCGTAATAGAATAGCGAAGTAGATATATACTAAATACGACAATAATTAGTTAAGAACTAGACTTAATATATGAGAAGGGTCTGTTAGCAGGTAGATAGGGTAGTAGTAGGTATAGGTAGTATTCGATAGAGATCTAAGAGGAGAGGGAGGAAGGCAGGCTAGTTAGCCTAACGCTAAGCGCCAAGCCCTGCCTAAGGCATTAAGACCCTAGCTTCACTCGAGCCTAGTTATATGCTAATTACGTATAACCTCTTTGGTCCTAACACACGCTTCCCTTCTAAAGGCCGCGCCCTCGTAGCCGGTCTATGTTCTATTCTTAACCTCTGTCGCTACTAACTTAGTAGGTCTAGCAAGCTTCCTAGTCCGCGCTAAATTAAATACGCAATTACCGATTATATAACTATCTCAAACCTTACCTCTAATATAGCACAATATCTAACTCTAACTGCGCCATCCTTGTATACAATAAAGTAATATATAACTATAAGAATTAAGGACTATCGACTAATTATAATACGAGCGCGCCTTCCCTACTATAATAGGTAGATATACGGGGTATTGTAGCACTACCCCCGTTCTACGTAATGTCGTACCGAGTTCTTTGCGTCTACTCTAAAAGACCTAGCTATGTCCGCTTCCGAGGGTTGTCCGCTTCCGAGGGTTTGTTCTTATTATTACGAGGGCTATTATTGTTCGTAGTTTCGCTAGCCCTAATTAGTTAGATTTAGTAGCCTTTAATTGTTAATCTTATCTTATCTTTTTAGAAAAAACACAGCTCGTCTAGTTTTTATAGGTAAAGGCTATTATAAGTGTAGTAGTAGAGGTTCGCCTCGCTTAAAGGGTTAGATAGATCGAGGAGTAACCTATTATCCGCAAGACCGACCCCGGCTAGCTTAGCTCTATAGTTTTTGCCCTTAGTTAGTTAGTCTATTAGTCTACTTAATCTTTTAAGCGGCTTAAAGCTTTGACTTAGCCTTAAAGTTTTAATTAAAGTTTTAATTAAAGGTGCCTTAGGCTCGTAGTGCAGGTAAGGTTGTATCTATAGGCGTAGTAACAATAGCAAGTAATATTAACAATAGTAGCGCTAGTCGTCTTAGCGCTAACTTTACCTTCTTCTAATTTCCTTCTTTAACTAATAACAACTCGGCAATACTGTTACTAATATAGCCGCGTTAGCCGCCGGCGCACTACTAGCTCGTAGCGCGATACTATTACCTTTATTACCGTTATTCGCACGCGCGCGCACATCGCCCTTATCGAACGCTTAGGTCTCGAGGCCTCGATAGAATAAAGAATAAGAGGGGGACCTATAGGGCGCGTTAGTAAAGAGGTAGAATCTTTAAAAGAGCAGGCAATTAGTTAACGCGTCGTAGCGCGCTTGTTAACACTCGGTACGCGTTTACTATAGTAGTATAGTCTTATTGTCTCTTGTTGCTAACAATTGCTTGTAGCTAATTAGTTAGCTAATAGCACCCCGGGGGTAGCATTAATCCTAGGCTTAGTAGTAACATTATAGGCATTATAAGCTCTTAGCCTTCTTCGTGTTCTTTACGCTAGTCTAATACTTATCTAACAACTTAGTTATGTCTTTAAAAGAGGCTTTAGCTTCCTATAAGTCCTATTTAGGTAAATAGCCCTACTATCTTAATAGGTACTCCTTCTTGCCCTACCTAGTCCGATGCTTTAGGATACGTTCTATAGACTATAGCTCTTCACTATCAGCTAAGACTTCTTCTAACTTAGTAGGCGCTTTATCGCCTTCGCGCTAGTAGTATAGTTTAAGGAGGGAGATATAGAAGGTATTATAGATAGTATAATAGGGTAGAAGCTATAACTAGTAGGCCTAGCTATTGCCCTTTAGTTCTCGGATGCGAAATAGGCTAATGTATCTTAGTACGAGCTTAGGCCTTATTTTACTATTAGGCGATAGGTGTTTGCGGATGCGGAGGTTCTTAGTACTA